GAAATGTCTATACTGTCACTGAAGAAACTCAGACTACTCAATGCAATCTGACAACCTGTGATGAAGCCAAGCTGTGGCATAAAAGATTGGGACATCTACACTCAAGAAATTTCTCTAAACTTCTCAAACTAAAATCTGTCAAAGGTCTACCTGACATCAATTTCAAAGAAGATCATCTCTACAAAGCTTGTCAATAAGGAAAACAAACAAAAATTCATTTCCATCCAAGGAAATCAACTCTTCAAAAGCTCTTAACTTGATACATATGGATCTCTGTGGCCCTACCAGAACCAATAGTGTTGGTGGAAGTAAGTATTTCATGCTTCTTGTTGATGATTTTAGTAAGATGGTATGGATTTTAGTAGGATGGTGAAGCTATTACACATTTCATTAAGTTTGTCAATCTTGTTGAAAATGAAAAAAGCTGCACTGTGAAGAGACTTAGGTCTGATTTTGGGTCTGAATTCATCATAAAAGAGTTTGAGCATTAATGTGATGACAAGGGTACTAAAAAATAATTCTTAGTTGTGGCCACTCCTCAATAAAATGGGGTTGTGGAGAGAAAGAATAGGACTGTTCAAGAAATGGGAAGAACAATGCTCCTTGAAAAAGGCTTGGCAAAAGGGTTTTGGGCTGAGGCTGTATGTACTTCTGTGCATATTATTAATAGGGCCCTTCTTAGACCAAATTCAAACAAAACACCCTATGAATTATGGTATGGAAGACCTGCAAGAGTTCACTACTTCAAAGTTTTTGGCAGCAAATGTGATATATTAAACCACATTGACAGCTTGGGAAAGTTTAACTCAAAGGTAGATGAAGGTATATTCTTGGGGTATTCTACAAAAAGCAAGACTTATAGGTGTTACAATCTAAGATCCTCTAAAGTGGTTAAATCTATCCATGTGAAATTTGATGAGAATCCTCAGTCCACTCACCTTGAAGACTATGAAAACACTTGAGGATCAAATGAGACTAGTTCCTCAACCAATGAGTCTGAAAATTCAAGGGAAAACACTTATCTAGGGCTACAAAAGCAGGTTCAAGCAGAAAACATCATTGGTTCACCTCAAGCTAGAATTTAAACAAGGAATAAAAAGAAGTTAACTGATTTAGAAGCTGAAGATGGTAAGGAATACAGTCACTTTGCTATGCTCTCATCTATAGAACCCAAGTCCTATCTTGAAGCTCAGAAAAGTGAAGATTGGATAGCAGCTATGCAAGAAGAACTTGATCAAATTCACAAGAATGATACCTGAACACCTGTTCCCAGACCTATTGACAAGAATGTGATAGGCTCAAAGTGGATTTACAGAAACAAGATGGATGAGAATGGGTTAGTTATAAGAAATAAGGAAAGATTGGTATGCAAAGGTTATTCTCAACAAGCTGGAATTGATTATGATGAAACGTTTGCTCCAGTTACTAGAATGGAATCTATTAGAATGCTTCTGTCTTTTGCTTGTCACAAACAAGTTAAAGTATATCAAATGGATGTTATGTATGCCTTCCTAAATGGAGACTTAAATGAAGAAGTTTACCTAGAACAGCCTGAAGGTTTTGAAGATTCAAAGTATCCCTCTCATGTGTTCAAACTAAGTAAGGCCTTGTATGGTCTAAAACAAGTCCCCAGAGCCAGGTATGAAAAGCTACATCAGTTCCTAGTCAAACAAGGATTCCATAGAGGCAAGGTTGATAACACTCTTTATGTCAAATCTCATTAAGACCAGTTTCTAATTTTACAAATCTATGTTGATGATATCATGTTTTATGGCTCAGACATCTCTTTAACCTCAGAATTTGCTAATCTTATGAAGACAAGGTTTGAAATGTCATTCTCGGGAACCCTCAGATACTTCTTAGTTCTTCAAATCACTCAAACCTCAAAAGGGATATTCATATCTCAGCAAAAGTATGCCTCTGAGTTACTTAAGAAATTCAATATGGATGATTGTAAGGCTGTCTCCATACCACTGTGTCCTAATACCAAACTCTCACTGGAATGTACTACTGAAGAAGTCCCCTCAACTCTCTACAGGTCTGTTATTGGTAGTCTGTTGTATCTTACAGCTTCAAGGCCTGACATCATATACTCAGTGGGCTTAATGGCTAGTTTTCAAAGTAATCCAAGGGCTTCTCACCTTTAAGCAGCCAAAAGGATCCTCAGATATGTCAATGGCACCACTTTCCATGGTCTATTCTATATTTACTCACCCTCAATGTCTATTACAGCCTTCTCAGATGCTGATTGGGGTGGATCTTTACCTGATAGAAAAAGTACCTCTGGTTATTGCTATATTCTTGGTTTTAATGTGGTCTCTTAGCTGAGTAAAAAACAAGACACTGTGTCACTTTTAACCTCTGAAGCTGAATATATAGCTGCCTCACAAGCTGGTTCACAATTACTTTGGATGAAAACTACTCTCTCAGGTCTTGGAATTCAATTCTCAGGGCCTCCTAAGCTTTTCTGTGATAATCAAAGTGTTATTGATATCAGTAAGAATCCCACACTACATTGGAAGAGCAAACACATGGACATCAGTTATCACTTTCTCAAAGATAAAGTTTAAAAAGGTCTTATTGATATTACTAACTTGCCTACTGAAGATCAACTTGCAGACATCATGACCAAAGCTCTTCTTCCTCAGAGATTTTCAACCCTTAGAGGTCTTCTCAGGGTTGTTCCTCCTCCTACCTGATCCTTTTATTGTTGGTCCTGCTCACCTTTTGACCTTCAATGTCAAAAAGGGGGAGAATAGGACTGAAATAAAAATAGTTTGAAGTTATTTCAGTTGTTTCCTTTGCATTTTGGATTGTTTTAGTTATTGTATCTCTGTTATGTTCATTGTCAAGACCTTATTTCAAGAAAAATTGGTTTTTTTCATTAAAGGCAAAAGGGGGAGATTGTTGTTCCTAAAGTGTCTTAAGGATGTTTGCCTGTTTAATGTCAAAAAGTTGTATTTCAGTAGTATTTGAGATGTTTCAAATATGATCTCTAGCTGCATTGTGGTTTGAAATAAGGTCCAGGGGTAGCATTGTCATCTACTTCACTGTGACACATTTTATTCACTGGACTGCAATTGTTCACTTCAATGTATCAGCTTGTTTTGGCTTAAATCACTGTGGCAGTGATGTTTTGTATCTCAAGTTCAGCTACAGGTGTTCTCAGGGGTATTATTGTCCTTTCAAAGATTTATTCCATGCATATACATATGTCCTAATAGTTGCATTACATTGATCAGCCTTAATTGAGCCTGCATTGTAAATTATATAGTCTAAGGACTATTTGTTTGATGAGAAGAATAATTTCTGTCACAAGGGTATTATGGTCTTTTCTAACTATACTCAGGAGTGTTCTACGACTCAGTGGTCCTAGTGTGTTGAACAATCAAGGATCCTAAGAGGTCCATAATCTCATAATGGCCCCAAACCAACAAATCCAGCACTATGGTAATGCCAAACAACTCATCTCACGAGAGCCTAAACAAAAGGTGAACATCCACCTACCTTAAAACCAATACTAGGTCGACAACAACTTATACTACCACGAAACTGTGACTACAATCACCATCAACCTCAACTCGTGCCTCAATGACCAATTCCATGTCATGCCAAATATGCAACATAATTATGCATATACAATTCTAATCTAGCATACGTCACATGTCATGCTCTTTACATTAGAATAAAATAATGCTAAACGAACGGTATACAACATGTAGCACGTAAGCACATAAACATGTTATCAACCAAAATATGTTATCCTAAAGCATATAAATACTTAGAGCATGGCAACAAAAGCATGATATGCACCCAAAACCCGTCGTCCTAAGGTTTTCAAACCTAGGAGCTCTGATACCACTTGTGACGGCCCAAGTTTTGTAAACCCGGTGCGTCAGTGATAACCAAAAGATGACCCGATAACGGATCCGAAATGCGGAAGCGAAAGGTGAAGCAACGGTCTCTAGTGATACAATGCATCTCTAAGACACCAATGTGACCCTCAATGAGGTCACGGAACCCAAAGAAAACAAATGCAGAAGTGTCGTTTCAAAAACGGACAAAAAGAACCTAGGGGAAAAATGGTTATTTTGCAAAAAGTGAATTCAGGTGCTATCGAGTACACTGCTAGAAAGACAATGACAAATTAGTCAAGTTCAAAAAAAATTTTACTCAATTTGGAGTCCGGACGGGGGAGAAAGGTCAAAAACAAAAATGATGTCGTGGCGGCCTGACGAGGACAACCCACCACTACTGCAACTGAGAGTAAAAAAGGGCATCTAAACGGACTTTTTTGGAAAAACTCAAAAAAGAAACCCCCCCTAAAATCAAGTTTCCTACCCTGATCATGAACGGAAACAAAAAAAAAATGCATTGTAAAATGCCCAGAATGGCCCCAAGAAAATCAGGTCAAGAGGAAAAAAACTAATCCGAGCTACTGCCCAAGTTTTGGAAATAGGGCTTCGGGAAGTTTTTAAATTGCCTAAATTGAAAATGCAATCTTAAAATGTACCCACAAGACCTCCGGAAGTTTCGGATTAGTCGTGACGATTTTCAAAAAAGAGTCGATAAATAGTACCAACTACATTTGTATTAAAAATTTGCAAAACCTGGCAACAAGGATTTTTCAGAAAAATATTGATTTTTGAGGGCCAAGATGATGTTTTCTGGAAAAACACAAAGAAGAAACCCCCCTCAAAATTGAGTTTTCTACATGACTAGCAGGGAAAAATAAAAATAAAAATGCATTGTGAAATACTCAAAATGCCCCTGGGACAGAATAGGGTAAAACTCCCTAAAAATGCTATTTAGAGTTTTTGTTTCATCAAGGAAGGTATTGTTTGCCAAAGTGAGCATGCAAGTGTATATAATATGATAAAATAGATGTGCTACAATGGCCTATGGCCTCATTACAATACATTTACAACATTTGACATGTCAAACCTCCAAGTTAGAAAAATTAAATTTCATAGACAAATTATGAACATGCTAACACTTACATGTGAACAAGAATGCTTCTAAAGAAGCTCAACTCAGCAAATCATGCAAGCAATTTCAATCTCCAATCTTGTATCCTGTACCTGAAATATGCCCCAATATCGTAAGGGTAAGTAACATAAAGCTACTCGTAGGAAATAAGCATGCATCGACCTACATTTTACAAGTGTACATGATTTAATCATTGTAGTTCATTCTACCTAACGTCTATGTCAAGGTGAGACTTAGGGAGCATCCTAGCTACCTAAGATCATTTCTAGTATTAATCACCTCATTCATGCAATTTTAACAACATAGGGTCATGCTTACACAAAGCAACAACATAGGAGCATGCTTACACAAAGCAACAACATAGTGGTTCTCAAGGTTATCAACTTGAAGTTTAAAATGCAACATCAACTAAATATAACAATTTAGCATAATTAGAATATCTAATACCATACATCAAGACATAGATTCTCTAGGTTATCAACTAGCAATCTAAAAGTGTGAAATCAACTAAATATATCAATTTAGTATGGATGTACTTAACAACATCAAATCGCCAATTACCAAAACCATAAGTCACAATTAAACATTGGTTGTCAACTTGGAATTGAATGCGAAATCAAATAGTGGAAGACTTGGACATCACAGCTCGGATTTCCGCTGAGACAAGGCAAATTTGGAGCTACTAACCCCCAGGCAGCCTACCCAACGCGCGAACTTTATAGGGCTAATTTGGAGCTACTAACCCCTAGGTAGCCTACCCAATGCACGAACTTTTGACTTAGATGACTCTTGTCCCCGTACTAGAGCCAAACCTAGCCATCACAGCTTAACAATGTCCCAAGTAACTCCAAAATAAATAAGTTAACAACTTATATACGTATTAAACAGTACACGAAACTACCTTCATGCACAAGTAGGTTGTAACCACATAACACATACTCTAAATCCACAACAACTATAGGATGACAATGTCGAATCTTCAGAGCGCGATTCGTTACGCGCTATAATAACATCACATGTCGAATCTTCAGTGTGCGATTCGCTACACGCTATAACAATATAATCCAATATTGAAAACATAATTTATAAATCTATTACAAGTCTAAAATCATGCTTCAAACATACTATCAATGCCAATTTCAGGATTTAATCATTAAAGCAATAGAAACGGAATTTAATCAAATAAACTAATTAAATTCCCTAACTTTCAAATCTCAATCAAATGGCCCCTAATCAATGCATATTATACAAGATAGCATAGTATATATGTAATGGCCCAGTCATTTTTCCTCCTTTTCTTTTTCTTAGATTTTAACGGATATTTTTTTTTCCGTTGTCTTTTCCTTTTTGGGTTCGGTTTTTTCATCACTTCATGTCGTCTTGAGTGCTCTGAAATGATTTTCGAGACTCTTTTCCTTGGATTGACAACTTCCTTTAGGGATTGTGTCATTTCCATATTTTATTTTTCCGAACACTATTCACATTTTGTCTTTTTCTCGTTTAACCTTTTTCCTTTCACAACCTCACTTTTTGTGCTCGGATTTTATTCCGGTTTTGCATGCATTCATGATATTTAATTTCCATGATAGTGGTATTTTTACTTTTCTAGAAAAACATGTTGATTGTTTACTTCCTTCATAAAGGGGCATTAATGCATACTATAGTGTAATTCTTCTTAACTTGTTGGGTTTTAGTGTAATTAAATAAAGTAATTATTTTTCATCTTGGGGACCATTTTGCAATTAAATTTGGAAGATATTTTAAAATGGGCCTTTTTGTAATTTTTGAAAAGTGTGACAAGTGTCACACTCTCATTGGTCCACTTGTTGACATTTGTGTGGAAACACTTTGATGCATTAGATGATGACATTTGGAGGGTAAGGATTCACCCACTTGTTGGCCTAGGATTGGTGCACTTGTTGGCTTGGATGGTTGACAAGTGTAGGTGTGGGATTAAGCCTAGGAAGGAACCATGGATTGGTGACAAGTGTAGGTTCACAATTTAATCTTGCAAATATCTTTGGGCCACTTTGGGATTATGGTTTTAAAGGACGGTTTTTGTGCAATTGACCATAGATGCGTGTGTTGACCATGGTGTAGGATCACATAGTGAGTGGAGGATTTCTATTTCCTCCACTCACACATTTTCACATTTCATCTCTTTCTTCCTCACCACAAAACCCTAGCCTCCATGGATGAAGCTTGAAACTTTAGGCATTGACCTTGATCTTTAAGGCCCTTCCACTTACTTTAGACCATAAAGCCTGGAATATTTTTTGTTCCCCTCATCCTCCTCTTCAAAACTCTTGAAGGATCTAACCTAACTCCTAGTTTTGCTTTGGTATCTAGGGATTCAATCCTCTAGTGAGGTATTGATCTATTATTTTGAAGTATTTTTATGTCATTATTGAGTGTTTTAGATGCCTAGAAGAGAATGACTTGTATTCTGCCCTTAAACTGTTTTAACTTGAAATAAATCTTGTCAAATAAAATATATAACATGAAAATATAATCAATTAGCTTCCAATTAGTTTTGGTTTCATGTAATTTGGATTTAAAATGAATTAGTTATGAATTTTTGAAATTGCAAGCTAATTGCTGAAAATTTAAATGTTTTCTTATCCGGTCCGGAAATGAATTTTTATATAGAGCTGTTGTGCTTTAATTACCTTTACATTTTTACTGGAACTTTCCCCATGGATTTTACACTACTCAGAATTTTTTCATGATTTTAGAGCATTTCTAAAAATTTTTAAAAATCTGAGACTATCTACTGTCCATGTTTTTATTGCAGCTGGAAAACATATTTTTAGATGATTTATTTCACTAACCTTTTTACATTGGATCATAGCTTAAATTTCTAGTTTTACACTCTCATATGTTTACTTCCAAAATAAATTAGTTTTGCCCAATTTGGATTTTAAATGAATTTTTCATGAATTTTCAAAGTTGGAAGCTACAGGCTGAAAATGTGTTTTCTGGGCAGAATTTGTTTCAAAGTTGTGGGTCAAAACTGTTTCAATTGGGAAAAAAATTTGTTAAAATAAATTGATGTTATCAAATTACAGTGTTTAAGCTTTCATTGGGCTTTGGATTCATTCAATTTGGATTAGAATTGAATTTTTTATGAATTTCCCAAGTTGAAGGTAACAAGCTGAAATATCTGTCTTGCGGACCAAAAATTTGGGGCAATTTCACTTCGGTGGTAATTGGGATTTTCATTCCAATTGAGGTAGGGGATGTTATAGGCTTTTGTGTGTGTTGTATTGAGTGTTTAGTATGATTATACAACTGAATTGCATGCCTTGTATCGATTCTAGAAAATTAGTACTAATTATATCTTTGTATGAAATTTAATTCACAAGAATGTGTATAACTTAAAACGGAATTGTGGCATGCTAGAAAATCATGCTTTAATATGTTTGTTAACATATATTAAATTGGAATTAATTGAATAAGAGTTACACTTTTTATTTAATATTTATCTTTTGTGAAAGATTGAATCTCATGGTCGTACCTTGCATGAAATTGACTTATGATATGCTTTTAAATTATGTCTTGGCATGTTGTTTAACATACTTTAAATTGAGAGCATTTGGACAAGTATGAAAATCTAGAGATTTTAATTAAAATGATTAATTAAAATCTAATTAAGGGTTCCATTGGCCTAATTAAGTGTTTAACTTGATATTTGTGATAACTATGACTTATGTTCTAACATATGTTAATTTGGAGGCCATTTGATTGAGATTTGAAAGCTAGGGAATTTAATTAGTTTATTGATTAAATTCCGTTTCTATTATATTATTGATTAACTCATGTATTTGATTTTGATAGTATGTTTAAAGCATGACTTTTGACTTAGAATGAATTTATGAGTTTATGTTTTCAATATTGGATTATATTGTTATAGTGTGTAGTGAATCGCACTTTGAAGATTCAACATTGTCATCCTATAGTAGTTGTGGATTTAGGGCATGTATTGTGTGGATACAATCTACTTATGCATGGAATATGATTTCGTGCATTATATAAATTATGTATAAGTTGTGAACTTACTTGGATTATTTTGGAGTCTTGGGACATTGTTTTGTGAGATGGCTAGAATTTGGCTCTAGTACGGGGACGTGAGTCCTCTAAGTCAAAAGTTCGCGTGTTGAGTAAGCTGCTTGGGGGTTAGTAGTTCCAAATTAGCCCCTAAGGAGTTCGCGTGTTAGGTAGGCTGCCTAGGGGTTAGTAGCTCCAAATTTGCCTTGTCTCGGCGGAAATCCGAACTTTGATGTCCAAGTCTTTCACTTTTTATTTTCGCATTCAATTCCAAGTTGACAATCATGTTTAATTGTGACTTGTGGTTTTGGCTATTGGCGATTTGATGTTGTTAAGTACATCTATACTAAATTGTTATATTTAGTTGTTTTCACACTTTTAGATTTCAAGTTGATTACCTTGAGAATCTATGTCTTGACGTGTGGTATTAGAAATTCTAATTGTACTAAATTGTTATATTTAGTTGTTTTCGTAATTGTAGATTTCAAGTTAGTAACTTTGAGAATCTATATCTAGTTGCTTGTATAGCATGTTTCTATGTTGGTTAAATTGCATAGATGTTGTGATTTGTGATTTATTGTTCAAATGTGACTTAGGAATGATCCTACAGATTTGTTTGGAACATAGACGTTAGGTGGCATGACCCACTTTGGTTGTTCTAGTATTTTAGATTTCAAGTTGATAACCTTGGGAATCTATATTTTGTTGCTTTGTGTAAGCATGCTACTATGTTGTTGGAATTACATGAATGATGTGATTATGCTAGAAATGATCTAGGGTAGCTTAGGATGCTCCTGGGGTCTCATCTTGATATAGACGTTAGGTGGCATGAGCCCCTTTAACATGTTTCACCTTAAGGTGATGAAATTGTAAAACGTAGGTCGATGCATGCTCATTTCCTACGAGTAGCTTTATGTTACTCACCCCTACGATACTGGGGCATATTTCAGGTACAGGATACAAGATTGGAAATTGCAATTGCTTAGGTGATTTGTTGAGTTGAGCTTCCTTAGAAGCATTCTTGTTCACATGCAAATGTTAGCAT